ATCATCCATATTGAAAGGATGTTCCATTATAAATCATCCAGCTATTGGGGTACCCCATGTATGAAACCCCCCATATGCTACACCTGCTTGGAGGAAGGGAGACCAGAGACGTCCTTTGATATAAAGCTTCAAAGCTTTGTCAAACGAAGTTCTTGACTTATCCTGATTTAATCAATTTGTGTCAGACATTTAGTGTGGTTTAACATGGTTTAACCATGTTTAACCAATTATATAGTTTACCATATTTCACCATTTTGCTATGATTTAAGATTGGTTTGCTATTTGGAATTCCCGAAGTCGTCTTTGAATCCCATGATTTGTTCAGGCGATGACGGCAAGTTGCGGCCCTTCTTCTGCGGGAGGTCAGGAAATCCCACCCTGGACACCGCCACACGAAATTGCTTAAAGACAAACTGGATGTGACTAAGCGACTTATTAAGATATATACTGGTTATCATTGCTTATAAGATATAAAACCCCGAAAAATCGAGGTGCACTTTTTTATATTTTGTTATTATGTATTCTATACCCTGCATTACAAGAACACGTAATCTCCAGATGGTTATAGTACGATATCTATCTCTATCAACTTGGCAACACCATCAAAATCATTACAAAAATCGCATAGGGTTGCCCTCAGATAAACGAACTAACAGATGGAAAATTCACCATTCCCTGCACGGGAAAGCCATGGATTTCCATAGCTATCTCTTTACCAGAGGCTACTCAACCCAGGTTTACCCCCAAAAAGATCCAACTACCAGATGGAAAAATCCCTGAAAATCCACCATTTACAAACTTTCTCATTTCCAGGGATTTTGTAGCTATCAATTTCCAATTTCTGAGGATAGCTCTAGCTCGGCAGGGGCGGCGTTCCCGCGGGCGCACGTGATCCACTCGGCCGCGCAGTCGGAGGACATGCCCCGCAGCATCTTGGGCTGTGCTGTGCTGTGGTCCGACAGCGAAGTGTTCGCTAGGGCCACCTGTTTGGGCTAGGCGTGTTGATGGGGACATTTTCACGATGGGATTTAAGCAACAAACGTTCGGTGAATTCATCGGAATTTTAATGGGGTTTAATGAGAGTTTGGATTTTAATGGAAGTTGTTGATTGGATTGAATGAGAAAATGGTGGAGCAATCGATAGTCAAGAACACCATTGCGGGTGCAAAATTGTGGTTGGAGTTGTTTGTGTTTGAGCAGCAGAAAGAACTCATGGTGTGTTTTTCGACCAGCAAGAATGGCTGAAACAACGGTTTAGGCAGAAAAAATGAGTTTTTGATAGTTTTTGGAGTTTGCAGGATATGATTCTGACCCAGAACAAATTGGATATAGGGGATTAACCAGCAAAGATGTTGCTTCGTTAACAATTCAATTGACCAACAAAAAGAATCAAAAGGAAGTGCTTACCCGCCGACAACGGAGACATCCCGTGCAGAACTTCTGGTTTTCCCAACTCATCTACCTACTATAACCTAACCTCACCTCACTGCGAGTAGGTTTTCTGGGTTTCACAATTATCCATATCAATTCTCCATTGGTTATCCATGATTGGTTAAATCCACCATGTTTTAGATTGAATTGTCTTCCTAGATCATGCAGTACTTCCGGCCTCGACCAACTCCCGCAGCTCACGGTCATCGTATTCCTGCACCAATGGAGAATTGAACTGGCTGAGATGATCTTTTCGGAAGTTCATGGGATCAATGGAAAATCATCAGTTTTCGGAAGTTTCTGGTTCATGGGATTTTCGGAAGTTAAAAGAATGGATATGTTCTGATGAGAAAATCTCCGATCAATGGAGGCAATGCTGGGAAAATCATCGAACTACGGAGATTTTCCAGCCATGTTTGATGACCAGGTTGGGAACCGATAACGGTGTGGATGTAACCAACGAGATACGACTGGCACCATCCCATCACTGAACACGTGATCCGGTGATCCATTCTGAAGCCGGGGCAAGGGGATACAGGATGGGCCCCCCCAGTTATAAGTTGGTTTATATACCATTATAACCCCCATTAACTATAGTTATATCTACCATAAACCATAGTTAAGCCACTTTTTTAAGGCACCTGGACGCTATCTTTTCGGGGCCCCATCCTTTTTCGGATTTACCATCCACCCAGTGGTGACAAAAAAAGTGGGATACCGCCAAGTTCTGGGGGTGATATTTTGTATTGAGCTAGAATCATAGCTAGAACCTTGGTTAATATATGGTTAATGTATGGTTATTCTATGGTTAATAATGGTTAATAATGGTTAATATATGGTTAATGTATGGTTATTCTATGGTTAATGATGGTTAATAATGATCTGGTTGGTGGTTTTGAGCCACCCCTCTGAAAAATGATGGAGTTCGTCAATGAAAAGGATGACATCCCATATATGAAATGGAAAATAAAACATGTTTGAAACCACCAACCAGCAATGATTGGTTCAGCTAGTATCAAACTTGACTCTTCCCGTCGTGCATTGGTGTGCCATCACAGGTCAAATCACAGATGCTTTGGCGCTTCCCAGCTATGGCCATGGCTGAGATTTCTGGATCTTCATCCCCCCAAAAAAATATGGAAAATCCATGAAAATCCTAGATTTTCACCCATCCCATCCCCATCCCCATATGTAGCTCTTCAATCTGATTTTGCGAAGATTTGCCCATGATTTCCCAAGGTCAGGTCATCTCACCTTGCGGGACCCTTGGGGTCCGCACCAAGGGTGCCCCCACCTCCAGCACATGCGCATACTTGTCCAGCACAGCCAAGCGAGATCCTGTTTGCCCCCTCTGGGAAACATTCAAAAAACGATGGGAAATCACCATCGTTGGTAAATCGACAATGGCCATGTTCAATAGCTATGTTAGTTGATCGGAGTGCAATTCACCCAGGGTAATCCATGAGTCATTTGGAGTTTCTGGGGTAGGAAAGTCGCTCTGGAAGTTGATCGCAACCAGTTGGGATCCCTATGCCCGAAAATGGGAAGTCTGGTCCTATTGGTCCTACTGAAAAGTGTGTTCCGCTTTGTCTTACCGTTTTCAATCACCAAAAGGGGGATAGTCGGATGTCCATCCCACTTTAGTGAGGATAATTACAATCAACATGGTGATCAAAAAGCTGTGAGTGTTTGTGAATGAGACAAACCCAATAATGCGGACAAAGAAAATTGTTTTGTGTTAATTTAAACCGGTGTTTTGTTTGTTAAATAGCCATACTGGCAGCCATACCCCGTTTTTGCTGTTTGAATCACCTTTTTTTTTGGTGAGATTCGCCCATGTTTGCAACCCTCGTTTAGTGGAAACCTGGTGAATAAGTCAACTTTACTTGGGGCTCTTTAGATTGATCCCCGAATCGGAGGGAAAATCTACAAGATCCCAATTCTTGCAGAACAAAGGACTGTAACCCTATCAAAACTGCTTGGTCTTATCCCATCAAATCACGTTGCCATTGAATCCCATGAAATCCCATTGAATCGCCATTACATCACCATTCAATTCTATAAAATCACCGTGAAATTCCATGAAAATCAGCATTAAAAACATATTAAAACCCCGGAAATCACCATGTTTTGTGTATTTTCCCAGCGTTTTTTCGGATCCTTCGATTCCACCCGAGTCGGTGGCGGCAAAGGTGGTGCGCAAGCGGACATCTTTCCTGCGATGGATCAATGGTGATTTAATGGTGATATTAACGGATGAATATACCATTTAATGGATTTTAATGGTTTGTTAGTATTAAAATAAGTGCAATGATCTCCATTTATGGTATACCATTGGGATATTTTCATGGATATACCATTGAGATATTTCCATGGTATTTTGGTGATTCAATATATTTCCATGAATCTATGAATGGTGAATAGTGCATCTTCCATTGAGTAGTGGATATACCATTGGGATATAAATGGATGAATCACGTTTTTGTCACTGGGATATTTTCCATGGGATATACCATTTAATGGTGATTTACATACCATTATCATTGAGATGTTTACTGGTAAATCAATGATGAGAACTGGTTGGTAAACTGGGAGATTAATGGGACAAAGAACTGGGATATTTATTGATTTAATGGTATATTTTATGGTGATTGATCAATGTGGTAATAAAATGTAATAAATGGGATACCATTTTAGATCACCATAAAATATACCACATTTTATGGTGATTTAATGGTATATTTTATATACTGTGGTAATCTAAATGATAATGGGATGCCTCGTAAGGATATCGTAAGGATCATTCAATGGGAATCGCAGTACAATGGAGGTACCATATTTTGAGCCGTATTTTGGGAGAATATCCACCTAAAGTTGAGCTCTTACATAGGCCGTATGTTTGGATATGTATGGTAGGTACTTCCAATTTAGGTACCTGAAATGGCCATTGAATCGATGAGAACCGATTGGTAAATTGATGAGAAATGCTTCGTACTGGCTTGGGGCAACTTGTTGGGTAAATGATGGGTTTTTTTATGGCTGGGTAATAGATGGTCGGGGTACTGGTTGGTAACTGGAAGGTACAGTGAATGGGTCCCCTAAATCCCATGGTTGATCATCATTTTTTCCCATCATTTTAGTCACCAAAGTCGAAATATCTGGCATCCCGCCCAACCATAGATGCCTCACAAAACAGGCAAAAACTAAGGTACTATAGGAATGGTACACATCCATCAACCGGAAAAAATAATTAAATCTACCTATGTACCAAACCCAGGTTTTACCGTTTAACCAAGCATCAGCACGAGGTAAGAGTCGCCATATTGGTAAGCGCTGAGAACTCCCCTGTAGTCGTTCATCACCTCAACATTGCGACCCAAGTCTGACAGCACATAGTCCAACAAAGTACCCTGGGGTAGACTAACATAGATGTCAAAAATGGTTCATTTATAGATAACTTACCTATAATCTATCGAAAATGGTGATGTTCCACATTTATGTTAGTTTACAGGAGGGTAAGTCCTTGCAATGATAAGTTCACCTGGACCTCCATGTGAAAAAAAAAACGCTATGAATACCAGTTCATCCATCATCTTTTCGTGGACAACACACCCATCACTGGGGGATTGTTTTTTTTTTGGAAGACACTCTGCCTTTCAAATCCTGAACTATGGAAAATCACCATGCTATTAATGGGTAAATCCACTATTTCTATGGCCATTTTTCAATAGCAAACTGTTAGTTTACCAGAGGGTAATCCCAATCAAACCCATTGTGGTTCTATCAGGGATGCAACTTGAAACCAAACATGGGGCCTGGGCCCGGGCTAAAAACCTACCCTCGTTTTTTACATGTCATTTCATGCCAATTCAAAACTGGTAGCTCTGGATGTTCATCTGAATGTATATATATATACATATTATGTGTATATACATATTGTGTAAATATATATATATATATACATATACATCAATTGGAACCATAGGTCTCGACCCCATCGAAACTTATTTTGTGCTTTCAACTCCCCTGAAAAATCAGAGAAAAATCAATTGGGATCGTCATCCCAGTTCGGAGAGTTGTGATTGTTTTCTAAACATGTCTGAAACACACACACCAGATTCATTGGTTGATATACATCGATTATACATCGATATACCATGTGTTTCTCTCAAAATGAGGTGTTCCATCCCGGTCATGTTTATACATGTTCCCCATGTATAGTATTTATACATATGTATATATATAGGTATATACAAATATCCCATTGCAATACATCCCCATGTTTTGTTTGTTAACTCATGTTAAATCCCCATTTTGGTTGGTGAAATCGCTATATTTCCATCTTGATCCCTATGCTCCAAAAAGAAAGAATCCCATGATATAAATCCCATCATAAGCCCATGAAAAACTCCGTTCAGTTGATGGTGAATCCCGTTAAAATCCTGAAAAAAATCCCCAAACTTTTGGCACTAACCACAGGGATTATATGGGATTAATGCTTAATAATGATAGATAGTGATAATCCCAATATATCGGTTGTTAAGCATGAATCATCAACCATTATTCACAAAAATATCCCCATATGTTTTGTGGTTGCTGGTTAAGCTGGTGGTTAATCAATGGTTATTATCCCCCCATTAACATCAACCCATTCTCCTATATGGTTGATTGGATGTATCAATTGAAGTCAATTAATCATATATATAGAATCAATCCATATCAATCCCATCAATTATCCCAGTGGTGATCAATGATTATAATCCCATATAATCCCACATTAAATGTCATGAAATCCCATACTAAGTTCATGGTTCGTCAATGGTCATAATCCCAAAACTAATCCCAGACCAATCCCATATAATCTGGTTGGTGGTTTCAACCCCTCTGAACTATATGAGTTCGTCAGTTGGGAGTATGAAATTCCCAACTCATATGGAAAGTCAATCCAAATGCCATGGTTCCAGTCAGCACCAACCAGCTATTCCAAAAGCCATATAGTCACCATATAATCACCATATTCTCATACCACATATGATCCCATGTATTCCCATATAATCCTACATAATCCCATACTGATCCCATGAAAATCCCCATAATCCGGTATATATATATATATATCACCATTTTTAAGTTCAGTAAACCATCTATTTCTATGGGCCATCTATACCATGGCGAACTGTTAGTCATAACCAGACGCTAAAATATACTAAAATATGGTAAAATATGGTAAGTATCGCATTCACCCAAGGCACACTCAGGGCGCCGTACTTGCAGCGTTCGAAGGGCTTGGCCTCGTCGTAGGTTCCCCCAAAAAGCTCCGTCTCCCAGCCCTGGAGAGCGGCTTGTTCACCAGGAATAAAATCCATGGGTTTTTTTGGGATTTCACCATGAAAAAATGGTGGGTTTAAAGGATTTCACCAGCAAAAATTGCTGATTCTATAGGACTTCATCGTGAAAACTAGGTGTTGAACCATCTAAAAATGGTGGAACGTTCGGATTTTATCATGAAAAATGATGAAACATTGAGATCTCTAACCTTTTTTTGTAGGGATTTTTATCCACCAAAAATGGTCTTCTTGATAGTTAACATTTAATGACAGTAATGATAAGTAACATGTTTTTTTTCACTAGGCCTAGGCTGACGTAGGGATTTATGGTGGATAGATCGAACTACATGGGGTCGGAAGCTGCAGGGAAGGGACCATAAATGGGATGGTAATTGTTTAGCCATGTTATGGTAAGTCATTGGGGATGGTTGGTGATTAGGTTTACATATATGTATATATTGGTTTAATATCATATATATATATACATACAATTATTAATCATATAAAAATTATATATATATATATATATTATATTATATGATTCTACATGAAGACACATGAAAATTCATTATATATAATTTATACATATAATGCCCTCACTGCCAATCCCAAAGATTTCATTGATCAAGTGCCGGATCTTGTCACCACTTGGACGATCCCTGGTCATGTAACAAAGTCATCGGATGTCAAAATGTTGGCCTATTTCTAGATGAGAAATCCCTATAAAGAAATGATTCGAAAATTCCATGCCTGTCTTAGAGTCTTAGATTACTAAAGGTTATATATCCCCATATTTCCATATATCCCATCCTAACTCCAGATGTCATATATTTCTGCATATCCCATATCAACGCTATCCCCATTTACATCGAGGGCAACCCTTGGCCCAAACAACCCTTCAGCACGAAAAGCGCACCTTGCGAATCACATTGCCATCATCCAGAGCACCACAGGAGGTTCCGGTCTCGAACTGGTTCCGGTAGAACTCGTCCTAGCCGCCCGTTTCGAAGTTTCGAGAAGTTGGGACCAACCCAGGGAATTTGGGAGGTGAAAACTAGGGAGATACCATGGCAAGATTAAGCCTCTGGTTATGACTAAGACTTTGCGAACTGGAAGCCATGGCACAAAGATGATAAATTTACGGTTTAGCTTAGCTGGTGATGTTCCAATTTTTGCGACGTGAAAAATAACCAGAGGGGGTAACTAGCAATAACCAGCAACTGGGGATATGGAGGTATACTGGTGGATGAATTACCAGGGATCTGGATCATCCCACATTTCTGGGGAGATCATGGGTTTTTTTTACCAACATCTAAGGTGAATCTGGATAGATTATACTCCTTCACGGACCCGAAAAGTTCAGCCTTTTATCAAAATGTTACCCTGTTACCCCGATTCATTCATCATATCATTGCAGTGACATCGCGATGAAGTGGGGTAGTCATAATTCATCCTGGGTGTTATGGGGATGTGAAATGTTATTAATGGGATTAAGTGGCAAGTTAGCCACCGTTTGAAGTGATGGAAGTTTAAATGATGAAAATGGAGAATATAATGGGTTATAACCAACCAAAAATACAGATTTAAACCATCAAGAATGGGACATAGAACATTATATATGTATATATTATACATAGAGAATGAAAGGGAATGGTTATGGATGTCCTACACATGGGGAAACACCTTTCTAGTCAGTAGAAGGGAAGCATCTTTTTTCATCCCTAAATCTGCTCACCAGAAAGGGTAAGCCCACGTGGATATCCCGTCTTTGGGGACTTGTTCGTCGAGGATTGTCAACATCGTGGTTTACTTTGCTAATTCCATACTACAATAGTGCATGTCAAATAAAACATGTACAACATGCATCAAACATCATCAAACAAAACTAGGCCTAAATCATCCTTTGATGTCGGCACCCGTCGGCACCGTCGGTGGACGCCATTCGAACCCCTTCCCGGCAGCCGGCCAGTCCGTCTCGAGAAAGCGCCCCACGTTGTCGATGTGCACGTGGATGCACATCGGAGCCAAGTCCTGGGGTATTTCCCATGACAGCTGATCCCGCTGGTCAAAGTCACTTCAAAGTCGATGTCTGTCTGATAGTGAAATTGAGTCAAACTCATTCAAAATCCCATCAAGAATCTGATGTTTTTCCCAGTCTCCAGTCATTTGTTTCTCGTCGAAATCCAGCGAAATCCCATGAAAATACATCAAAACCATCCCAAAAACCACCTGGGAATCACCTCAAGCAGTTTTTCTCATGAGACTTTTGGATGGTTTGGTGGATTTTCATGGGATTTTCCCCGGGTTTTCCCCCGGGTTTTCCCCAGCGGCGCCTGGATCCATCCCAGCACCGCCTGCAGCTGCTCCTCGCCATAGCCCATCTCGGCGAAGCGTTCGCGCACGTTGGGCAGGGCCTGGCGATGATCAAGAAATTCATGATGTTTAAATTAATGGTTAATGGTTAATAGTGGTTAATAATGGTTAATAATGGTTAATGGTTAATAATGATGTTAATAATGGTTAATAATTAATTCATGATATAAATAGTGTTAAATTAATGGTTAATAATGGTTAATATATGGTTAATGTATGGTTATTATATGGTTAATGATGGTTAATAATGATCTGGTTGGTGGTTGAGCCACCCCTCTGAAAAATATGAGTTCGTCAATGGGAAGGATGACATCCCATATATTATGAAAAATAAAAAATGTTCCAAACCACCAACCAGTTATTTATGAATTGTAATGTTTATGTATATATATATATGTTTATATCAGTTTATGATGTTGATGATATTTGAAGTAAATGGGGGGGTCCTGGTTCCTAAAATGGGGATACCCCAATAGCTGGATGGTTTATTTCATGGACAATCCCATCTATAAATGGATGATAACTGGGCTATCCCATGGTTCTTTCGGAAACCTCCGACATCTGATCTGAAACCATCAGACTGAGGTGAAATCCTATCACCCTGGAAGTAAACTTCATGATGTTTGAAGTAAATTAATGTTGATATAATATGTCACTAAGGATTTGTTTGTGATATGTTGTTTATTTAGGATATTTATGATATGAACAGTTGAACAGTAATACGTATTAATACTATATAATGATGTTTATATTTATGAATAGTAATGATGTTTATGATATGAATAAGTAATATATAAATATATAATAATAATATATTAATATGTATATATATAATTATATGACATGTATTGATATGTTGTAAATGAATTATATTGATGTTATTTACTTTTGATATCAAGAGTAAATTCATGGTGATACTAATTATAATTATGATTATGATTATCAGTACGTTTAGGATAAATGGTGACTTTAACATACACAAATACCATTGATGATATTAACGGTGATATTTAAAGCATATTTATGGCGATATATAATTGAGTAAATAGGTGATGTGTTATATAGGATAACTTGTGATATTAATGAGTAAACATACTGTTGATACTATTACCATCAATGTGTAAATGATATATGGTTATGATTGATGATATCTACGATAAGAGGTCCCATATATGATCGTGCGGATAATATGTCTCATGAATAGTTAATGGATCATAGGGGATGAATAGTACTAAAAATCATGAAATACATGGATCCATTATGATTATAAATATGATATTCTGGATCCATGATGATTACATGGATGTACATGAATCATGAATGACAAATGAATCGTATATGAAAGACATCTATGATCATTTATGATCTATTCTATCACCATTTTCACCGTTGATGAATGGGACGTCATTTTATAAATGGATCAGAATGATAAAAGTGATCTCATGGGATGTTATTAATAAATATGATAAATATGGATAGTATTTTGATATTGAATGATGTGTTTTATTCAAAGGGATGGGATGATATCGAGATTAGTTATAATATCCAACTAAATGATCAATATTTATGTTCATATCATAAAAATCAAGGTGATCGTTGATATGCTATAGTCCATCAATGATGATACCCTGTCCCTAAGACTTGCTGATAAAATGGAACAAATGATGCTAAATGGATACTAAGAAACAGACTTGGGTTCTATACAACATTGGTGCCCTAAGATTTTGGGTAGCTGAGTACCTGAGAATTGTGGATTTCATGATTCATGGTATGAGTGTATGAGTCTGCATTAACTTCGCATCCCAACATTTTTGCTTCACAAAATCTGGAGGCAGCTCCTCATAGCGGTGGATGTGCATCCCACAGGTTCGACTCATCCCCATTTGCCGATTGGTTGGGGATGGTCTCAACATGTTACCCGGTACCCGTAAATTAACAGTTCGACCCTGGCTAAAAATGGGGTTGGAAGACTAGTGAAACCACTATAAATTGGTCATTTTCAGGGTCCAACTGTTAATTTACCAGGGGGTACGGTACCAATGGGAAAAGGACATCTATGACATGTTCGAGAGATTTGACTAAGAAATTGTTGAGCAGTTTACCACAAGAAATGGTAATTTACAAACAACAATTTGCATTTTACCAACAATAATATGGGGCGATGGATATGTCTATCGTTGGATCTGGGAACAGCCAGAAAATTGGATGATAAGTACCCTCCGCTCATTCAGCATAGCTATTTTTCAATGCCAATGTATAGTTGATTTACCCTTTAAAAATATCAACAATTGATAGAAAAAATGTGATGTTCATTGATTTTCCATAGGTATCCTCTGGTAAACACTTTCACATAACTGATGGGAAAATCACCATTCTTCATGGCTAAATCCACTATTTCTATGGGCCATGTTCAATAGCTATTTAGTCATAACCAGAGGGTATCTTGGTTTACTGGGCCTCCGAGGATCCGAGGGTCCGAGGCTTGGCATCAATCGAACGTGATCCGATCACTGCATCCATTTTCCATAAAGCGACATAGAACATGGCCCAGTCGAAATAGTGGATTTACCCATGAAAATAGCATGGTGGATCTTTCCATAATATATATAATATATATGTATATTAATATATATATATACTGGTTGGTGGTTTTGAGCAAAACCCCTCTGAAAAATTAATTATGGAGTTCGTCAATGGGAAGGATGACATCCCATATATGAAATGGAAAATAAAATTCATGTTTGAAACCACCAACCAGTGATTGACTGCATCCCCATCGGAAAATTTACATCTCTTTCAACGTTACTTAACAGGGATGAGGACATCATAGGACCCTACAATTTTTTGGTGACCGGTTCCGGAACTGGTCACCACCGTTCCTGACCGGTTTCCTGGAATGCATCCCCCACTGAAAACGAACATGGAAGATGTTACCAAGCAGGAATCCTGGTTGGGCGTACTAGGTGACTTTTTTATGATACGTGGAGGTTTCCGTAAATGGGGATACCCCTATCAATGGATTATAAATGCTAAGTCCTATTAAATGGATGATTTAGGGCTACCCCCATGGATTAGGAAACCACCATATGTATCCATATGTATCCATATGTCCATAGATGTCGCCCAAAAACTCTGCGTTCCTACCAGGGAAAAAAAACATTCGCCATGTTAAAATGCCACCTTCTCGTGGTTCATGGCTGCGTTGGCGCGCACATGTGCCAGGGCTTTGCGTTGACATGGTACGCAAGCAGCAACCTCAATGAGGAGAGACGATCTGGATCTGACTGGATCTAACTTGTCAAAAATATGGCTCATGGCTCAAGATGGAGATGGGTCAAAACCCTGGTACCTAGTGAACCCCAAAATAGCTGGGATTTATGGATGTTCATCCCCTAAAAATGGTATGTATAGGTATTGACCCATACAGTACCCAGATCATGAAATATTGTGAATCGAATCTAAACCCACCTCCTTTCACCCGTTTCACCAAGTGCAAATCCTGCATGGCATCTTAGCAAAGAATTCTCACATAGATCAGCTTCCCAAGCTGTCCGGTTTCCGTGTCAGGGGTTACCAGCTGAGAGTTCATGTCGGGTATAGGTACGCCCTGCTGTGTCAAAAGTTGAGCAAACTCCTTGAAAATCATCCAAAAATCATCAAAAAATCATCCAAAAATCATCCAAATCCCGAAAATGACCAAAACTTCGGACATCTTCAGACCTTCTCGGACTGGACCCAAGAGACCGCGCGCATCTCGGACTGTGGGAAGATGGACGCCCAGAAGGCTTGTTGCTCTTCCAAGATGCCAACCTGGAAGAGGCCCCAAAAAATCGCCAGGTTTCTGCTGGAGCCCCATAAAGAAACCCCCAGTTTTTTGCTACGTGAAATCCCAAGTGTTTGACAGTTGAGACCCAATGTTTGAGACTTAAAACACCATGTTTCATGGTTGAACACCCATCTTTGATGGTCAAACCGCCCTTCTCGTAAATCATCTTAAACCGCATTGTTCATCGTCAACAGCTCGTGTTCTTGATAAATTCTAAATCCTCAGTGTTCAACAAATATGATGATTAAAACTGATAACTATTCTCAAAATCATGACTGGATAGTGAAAATCAGCAAAAACCATCAAAGATCCTTCAAAAATCATGCAAGAATCATCAAAATTCATTAAAAATCAACAAAAATCCTCCAAAATTCATCCAAAATTCCCATCTCCAAAAAAAAACATGAGTTTATGGCGACTGGTTGAGCCTCCCGCAGCGCAGCCACGACCTCGCTGTCGCGGCTATCGTAGAAGATCCAGCTGGGTGGCACCACCTCCAACAATTTGGGGTGAAAATGGGGGGAATTGACGGATTTCTACTTATGTAAATACTGATACATATAATATATATAATTATACATATGTATATTTATATATATATATACATACATGTATTAGCCTGCGGACCGAAAACCGTTCCCGTAAAACGCACGTTTTTGAATATCGCGATTGTGGGGTGGGGTGGGGGGGCATGTTAACGTTCCTTGTACTTCGTACATGAAATATTGCCACGCTGCTGAGATCCCTGGGATCGTTTACTACGTTACATGTTTGTACGCTGCGATGGGGTGGGGTGGGGTGGGGTGGGGTGGGCCTGAGGTGGGTGTGGGGTGGGGTGGGTGGTGGGGTGGGGTGGGTGGGGTGGGGTGGGGTGAGGTGGGGGGCATGTTAACGTTCCTTGTACTTCGTACATGAAATATTTCTACTCTGCTGAGATCTCTGGGATCGTTTACTACGTTAAATGTTGCTACGTGATCGTTTACTCTGGGATCGTTTACTGCGATGACGCTAAAAAGCCAAAAAACGCGCCCCAAGTTTTTCCAGGATTTCCAATCATCAAATCAGCACGGCACTGTGGTAAAATCACCATTTTTAAAAAAAACGTGCGTTTTATGGGAACGGTTTCCGGTCCGGCGGGATGTATTACTATATATATATATATTATATTATATATGATTATATGTATATTATATATATAACATTGTCTATATATATCAAAAATATGGAGGGTTTGACACCTTTTTTTTACTATGAAACATATGGAGGGTTTGACAAGGTACCAACAAATTGTTGGGTATGTTCTGAAAGATGGGACAAAAGCACCAAGACTTGCTAGTTGAAGCAGGAAAGTCCCAAACACTCAGGTCGGTATCTCTTTTCAAGAAAACATGTATCAATTATGTTTGCGAGAAAATGATGTAGCATCGGTCTTTAACTGGCCCAAAAACTGCCAAGACACATGAGGAGAATGTCAGAAAAATCATGATGAGAAGCGAGGTTGAGAGATGCCCCATTTCTAGCAGGGCAACCTCTCCCAATTTGGACAATTTCAGCATAAATCAAACTGTTGGTATTCCATTTCCCATCACTTACCTATGGAAAGTTATCCCTCGCTTCGGTTTGCATCTCCCCACCTGTCGCTCAGAGGCACCCTCCTTCTCTTCACCGAAGCCAAAAAGGAGTCTCAAAGCAGGCTGTTTTTCTTGGAGGCCATCTATGGGGGAAAGGATCAAATGGGAACTACTGGACTGTCAACGTCTTAAGTAAAACCGCCATTTTCGGGACACGCATTTTTGACTGATGCAAAATATGGATGCAAAATATGGACACGTTTCACGCCTTTAAGTTTAAATCAACAACAAGTGAAAATGTTCAATCAACAGTTTTTTCACAGTTTAAGTTAACATCAACAAAAAGTAAAACATGTCGGAAAATGTGTGCAAGTGAACATGGAAAAATTGGCCTCGCGCCGTTCTCTGGCATCACGTTGAGTTCAAGGACTTGTGCCTCAGACATCAGACGCCAAACCGAGGACGAGGGGTCAAAGTCACCCTTGGAAAATCTGTGGGAAATATGGGGAAATCATTGGAAAATCATTGGAAAATCTGTGGGAAATACGGCAGAATCATGAAGAATCCCTTGTAAATACAGTTTTCCGGGAAGATTTTCGAGCGTTGAAGCCATGGGACTGATGCAAACGGGTTCGGGTGATGGTAGATTTACTGGAGGCTTTGGCCTGAGAAAATGGCCCAAAAATAAAGGCGGTGGAGATCTAAGCTGCAGTGGTCGGGATCGTGGGAGAAAAAGTCCGTGAAGCTATGCAGCTATTCGGAACTTGAAACCAGCAACCATCTGATCCACTTTTTGGACATCCGCCTACCCATCAGGAGTGGTTACATCCCTAGACCCTAAACATCCCTAAACCTTGATGGGTGATGTCCACATCGGAGTTTCGTCCCAATGACCTTGGGTTCCAGTTTTTTGGGGCTTACCTTGAAGGCTGAGACATCCAATATCCGCAAAAAATGCTTCAATTTTGGGCACCCTGGAATTTTTTCGAGGTTGTGAACACATTCAGATGGCGGTCAAAATGTTTCGGTGCCCTGTAATTGGATATAGTTCATGTCAAAAATGGACCGCAATCCCGTCCCCCCGGGCCGAAGAGAAGCGGGCCCTCCGAGTCACACTCTCCGGATCTAAGCACTGGGCCTCTCTCCAAGTGGTTGACTTCTTCTTGTCCTGCCAAAACGGTGGCCTTTAGGAACCCCAGAACTTGAAAAACAAACACCAGAGGGTTGGGGTGAACTACTGAAGCCAGTGATGGGGATCTAGTCTGGTTTCCCCCACTGTTAGTCACAATTCATGGGGCTCGCTCGGCTTCGAGGGAGCGAGGGGAGATGATTTGTCCGAGCGTCATTGACTGTGCTCCGCAAAGCAACAATGAGACCCCAGGTATAAGTTGGTTTGGAAACCCATGAATACTATCTTTGTATCCCCGGAATCCCCCATAAACCCTAGAACTCACTAAGTTATCACAACATCAACTTAGCATAACTTGGCAACCGAGGGCCTCACCTTGAGCCACTGATAGACAGCTTTTTGCGCTGCTGGGAATGATCCTTTACCCCCAAAGGTTAATGCCAGAAGGTTAGAGAACTGGATTCTTCTTATCAAAAGAAACAGAACATCGAAGTGTCCCATCCATGGCGCACACCTCGGCATCGACTGGGCGTCCTACAGTTAACCAACTGATCCAACTTCCTTAGTGGTCCCCCCCAGACCCACAGCCGCCTCCGTGTAGTAGAAGGCTCGGATCCTGTCGTGTTGGCATGAGTTCCACCTTCTCTATAGAAGATTTCCCGCTGGAAAAAAACAAGATGGAAGCCACGAACCCGAATGTATTCACGTTCTTGGGCTACGAGTCCAAACCTCTGCAATAAAAAAGCGAACTCTTTTTTCCACGCATCGTGCGCTCATTGTCGCAGCGAAGGCACCGGATGACAGACGACTAGATGATTCCAGGGCCAACTTACACAGAGACACAGAAGAACAGAAGATGACAGAATACCAAGGGTTCAAATTTTGCATGTTTGCTATAGATATGTTTGTTCCGTATCTAATGCAAAATTCCAGGTGCCAGTCCGCGCCTTCTACTGCGAAAGTCCATGTGGCAACTCGTCTTCTGCTGCAGTTGGCTGCAATGATCGCAGTCCATCATCAGCCTGCGACAAGGTCAGATGCAAGTTTTTCTGCCACGCCCGCTCTCTAGTAGTTTTTCATCCAGTTCCGCTGACCGTGTGATATGTGCATGGTAATGAACCGTGTAAATAGAATTCCAGAGCTGCTTGTGCAAACTGACCTCTCAACAACATTTGCTGTGTATTTCACCCTGTTTGACAACTGCATTGCTGTGAGAGGAAAAACAAACTATGTCCGATGCAGTTCTGCAGACGGGTTGTATCTGTATGGCAATCAATCTCTCTGAAATTCTTAAATGATTATTGATTATCCATGTATTGCAAAATGTGATCTGAAAGCTGAGCAGGACTCGTGATCATTTACAAAATGAAACTTGTCCAAGTCACTGCGGCCAAGCGCAAGGCAGCCAGCGCCAGACAGCCAGCAAGGTTTGCACTCCCAGTATCTCAGTGACCGATTGCAGAAGACACGCCAGCAAGACACGCCAGCAAGACAAGCCTGGAAGACAAACCTGGAAGACATTCCTGGAAGACACGCCAGAAAGACAAACCTGGAAGACACTCGTGCAGGACAATCCTGGAAGACATTCCTGTAAGACACTCTGGGAAGACGCTCTTAGAAGACTCTCCAAAAACGTTCGCGTGACTTTACTTCTCACTGAAGCCGCGACTTTCATTTTTGATGTTCATCCGTTCAGCTCACAACGCAGGGACTGAGCCACTGCGGTGAGTACATCTCTCCAGTCATGGATTCGCCTTTGTCATTGCTTCCGCCAGAGAAAGCGGCAGTTCCGGCAATCGAAAAGCGCTTTGAAATCCACTTTCAAGATCCAGGAAAACAAGTTCAAAATGTTGCTAAGAGATGTTGTACAAGCATATGCAAGCTTCCGCTCCATCCATGGTGGCTGCATAAGAATGCAAAACACTCGCAGCACCGTGTGATCCCTGCTGCTTGACTTGAACTGGTTCGTTTCCAAAGATGCAAAAACACACATGTAATTCCTGGGACAAAATGTCCACGTCAGTATGCGTTGCCCAATGGTTGTTGCCGACCTGGCTGATGTTGTCAGCCACAGCTCGCTGCATTTTTGTCAGCACATCCCTGCCTGCATCTATTCTATGCTGCACAAGGTTTGGACTCTCGCCATGCTTGCAATGCAAAATCAATGTGTTGGCTGCGTCCAGCGTCAGGTCATGAACACTATTGACGCCTTGCAGAAAAGCAAACGGTGTGTTCGCGATCAACCGCGACATCTTCCAAGAATCCAATCACATACCTGCAACTTCGTTAGCCAAACATGTCGTGGCAAAATCAAGAAACTGTTTGGGACTCCAATTCATAACACCTTGGCCAACAATGCCACGCAAACGTCTGACCATCGCCCCACGACTGACATCCTCAGAAAACAGCCGTTCCAGTGACAACGGCAAGTTGTGCTGTTCTGCCCGCAATGTTTCCAATGCTGCCGCCACAGACAAAAAGAAACAGTCGCCGCCAGCGCCGGCATCAGCTGCAAAGGCACGCAGTCTGTGCTCGCGTAGCAAATAATCATCAGCAGCCCGGGATAAAGTCGACAACCGTAACTGCCAGCTCTGGCAAAACATCGTTCGATCTGCAGTAGATTTTCCAGGCCAGGGACGTTTCCTGTTGCCAACATCTGGTTGCTGAGTCTTTGACACTGCAAGGAGCCACACATTGTCTTCATACACAAAACCACCAGTTTTGTCCAAACGAATCGGCTTCGGCAATTGGTGGGCCGCCGGGAAGCCTGGTAAAGATTGCAAGGCTGTATCCACAGCGACGTGGGATGCTTCAGCCACATCCTGCCACATGTACCGTGAACGCAACTTGCAACAATGTAATACTTCCCCTTATTTAATTCCGTCCGGTAAGATTGCACCAGTTTCACTACGAACAGCTAGAAACTTTCAAAACAACACAATTGTAAAACACCGACGACAGCAGCCCCGCCTCCAAACGTTTCAAAAAGTCAGCAATATATTGCGGAGGGCCATGTTCGAAGACATCAAAATCGATGTCAGAGCCATCTGGCAGCATAGGCAGGTTCCTGAATAGGGACCATTCTAAACACGTGGCTCGACCCAGAATCATGTATACGTGTTGGGTATACTCCTCCGCAGTGAAATAATCGGGCTTGCTGAAATCAATAGTATGGCCCATGTTCCGCACAGTTTTGCCTTGTTGATTATTGTATGTTCCTGCCATCCACGGTGCCAATGGATATTGTACTCGAGTGACATCCAAGTAAATTTCCCCACGTCGACGAATTCGCAAGCGAAATTCGTCTTCGCAGGGATCCAAATGCCAGATGCCAGGCAAGCCTTCACCAGTGTAATCGTCTCCGCGATCTTCAACTCGAATGGTGATGCTTGCAGGCAAGTAGTCCAATCGGCAGATTCCTTCGGTCCAACACGGGTGTCCAAGTGGTGGTTGTGACAAGCCAGGTGGGCAGCCTGGAATACCGTATCTTTCTTCCGGATGAACATGGATCGCAACGATCTCTGCAGGGCATTCTTGCACGAGCTCTGGTGCCATCAACTTTTTGGTGATCTTCACGCGAAGTCCAACGTGCAAAGGTGCAAAGGCCATCAAATTGCACGTCTTCGAAGCCATATTGGTAATGGACAAGCACTCTCGCAGTACACTTTGATCAGCGAAGTATTCCTTCTGATGCACCAAATCAACTGCCTGCGCATAATAAATAACCTGCCCTTTGGCAAACAAAAACGATTTCAGTACCTCGGCAACACTCTGCAAACATTGGCCAAACCGACGCTGGAAGGAGCGTCCCAAAGCAGGTGGAAAATGTCTGACAAACTGTCGCGGGCGACCATCCATCGTGTTCTGGAAAGCATGTACACCAAAGCTGCTCCGCGCCGATTCGTAAACAGTGATCTGCTGGAGGCGAGCCACTTGATCCCAATTGATTGCCGAAAACACACCATTGGCAAAAAAACCCGTTGGGCCCACTTGCCGACCGTCACTGTCACGCATAACAAAATTGCTATCAAGACGAGGATCGTTTGCTCTGGGGCGAAACAATTGCTTGCGTATCAAATCTTTGAGTTCAGGAGTCAGTGGGTGGAAACCTTCTTTTCGCATGTTCTCCAGGATCGCTGCCAAAGGGTCACCGGCTTTGAATCGATGGCTGCCTCGAAACAAAATCGTTTGTGGCAAAAAGCGATCGAAAATTTGCAAGCCCCTGCGATCGATCTGCTGCTTGCGCTGGCGCGACTGCTCGTCCATGCGTTCATATGTAGGTGCGCGGGGAACTTCCATTCCAAATATTTCCATCAAAGAATGGTTCAGGACTGGGTTCAATTGCAAAAAATCACCAGCCAGGATTTGGCACAAGATGTTTCCCAATGTATCATGTCCAGCTGCAGAAGCATCGTCAGCATCACGACTTCTCCGAGTCTTCCTCTGGAGCCGCCGGAATGGATCCGCCCACCGGGACTGAGCCACTGGAGCACGAATTCAAGAGAGACTGCCTGCCCCAGTGCGCTGCGTCATCCAAAACTGCAAGCAAAGAAGGAGGAGTCAATGAAATTTCATCTAGAAATGCCAGAGCCACATGTTGCCATCGACGCTCCAATGCTTGCATTCTGTCCCGCGACGGCTTCTGTAGGCCGAGCTCCGCAGATCGTTTCAGTGCAGACATATAATGAAACGTCGCACCTGTGATTAAGCGAGCTGCGGAGTTCTGCGCTGCGATGCCTTTGGATGCCTTGGGCAAGAAATGTTCGTAGACAGGCAGCATGACTCGAGTGAGCATATAGGTTTTCCCCGAGCCACCAGGTCCATGCAAGAAGATTCGAGCAATCATGTCCTGAGCACGTCAAAGCGTTCCAGGGTTGAAAAGGTTACGGGGAAAGTACATAATTTTCAAAAACACCCTAAACATCACCAGGAACCGTTTGTGGCACCGATCTGCGAAGTCCCACAAACAAGCACCACCAACTAATAGGCAAAAACACAAAAACATGTCAGGACAATTATCTAGCCAAGCACCGGAGTCACCAATGCCAGCAACTCGCGAAGGCGGCCACGTGCGCCGAAACAATGCTGCAGATCATGCTCACCCGCCTTGACCCATAATTTCTGCAGGGGCGCTATCGCCAACACACATGCCTTGTACTGATCTGGCGAGATTTGGTACGTACCATCAGCCTGACGTGTCGGCAGACGTTGTTGCAACAGTCGCAACGCCATGTCAGCAGGAGAGAGAACAAGTACCTCAGTCTCAGGAGCCATGCTCACGGGAACTTCCAAAAGACTAGCGTTTCCGGGCAAGAATTCATCTTTTGATGCGTCCATCAACTTTTCATCTTTTTCTTTTCGAGATTCTTGTAAAAACTTCTGCGCCTTCAAGCCAGCAACGACGTTGAAAGTAGCACGCCTCTGCACATCCGTGTCAGGAGCCCGTGCGCAAGGACGGGATTCTTTCATATCCAAATATTTTCCACCATATTGACGCAAGAATTCTTCTGAACGTTTGGTGCTGGCACTTGCCCGACCCGAGCCCACGTTCCTGCGATGCACCATGTCAAATAAATCATTGGATGCCACATGCAAGATCGGTTTGTATTGAATGTCCGGTCGAAGAGACGTGTCTTGATCCACATCGTCTGCATCTGGATCTTGAATGTCATCCACATCCTCTACATTCACGAATTCACCTTGTAGACCCACATCTTCTTTCTCATCGGTGGCAGTTGGATGCAAAACACCAGGTCTGGGTCGTCGCCGAGCTTCAGCCATGAAATCCAAATTAGCGGAAATTTCTCGGCTAATGGTGGCGACGTATTCCGCGGCTGTCAGTTGTTCATTATGCCATCCGTAAGAGCATCGCTTTGCAGCAGCCAAGTCTGGTCGATGCAACACACAAGTGTCAAAATGTTCCGGACTATTCCCGAGCAAAACAGCTTCACCGTCCTCTGTCGTCAAATGTCCCACATAATCGAAAATATTTCCAAGGATCCTTTCAGATACCAGCGGTACGGTACTGCAGACTGTCCGCTTGCGCCGACCTTGTTTCCAGGTGCGACGCGTCTTTGGGCGATTTGGCTCTGTAAACATCTTCAGCAAAGACTCCAAGACATCACAGCTTTCCACAGTTCCAGGAACTTTGTATTGGCGCAAAGCAGTTACATCCACAACCTGCAGCAAACATGTGTTTCACACAAGGATATGTCCAAAATAATCAGTTCGATCAGTTGACAAAGCTTGCAAGCGGGAACATCTACACAAGAAGTGATACATGTGTCTATCATACATCTATGTCGTTTATGCAACCCCCAATCCACCAAAATCAAACAATGCAAAATAAACATATGGGAATATCCAGAACCGAGTAGCCGTGGCACATCTACGTGCGCATCGTAGCTTCACCTGTCCCCGGCGTGCTCAAAGACATGTTACAATTCTTGTCATGGATAAACATGCAACTTTATGAAATTCCAAGCTGACAATGTGGAGCAATGTGATGACTCTTGTGCAACTCGGCACGCCAAAACAAAAACAACCAAACGAAAAAAACAACAAAGAAGCGAACATATTCGAACAGGGCGCATCTGCGCGGTCTGCCAAGCACTGCACACGGGCTTCAGTAGCTTTCCATTCCGCCAACACACCAGTGGAATCTCGCACTATACGAGCATCGTTGCCAGGAAACACCACACGCACACGCGACTTTCCAGGGAAGATGTGAATATGGCGAACAGCGCTCGCCTGACCGCAAACATTCTCATCTTCACAGCAATGTTTTCGAAGTAAGGCAATATGTACGGCAGCCCACATGTCCGGATCTTTCTGTTTTGTGGGCATCGATATTCCATGCAAATAAGGAATACGAGGAGCCGCATGAAGAACCTGCACATGCGTCTTCGCTTTGACATAGTGTTCCGAAAAATCAAACTCACCATGGTCAAACTTGCCAGCTTCCTGTAACGGCACAGCACTGACATGCATTGCATAGACATACAAGTTCATAGAAGCTAATGGCTCTGCGATTCCTCGATGCAAGTAGTCCTCATAGAAAGAAGTGGCCCGCGTGTCCGCTGCTTGTGTCCCTGCAGGCGGCAGCTCAATGTCCTCGACTGCAGCGGTTGTCTGTAGCTCAAACGAATCTGCGAGTTTTTCAGCGTTTCTGCGCATTTCCTCAAACACGCCCCAAAGTACTCGCTTCATCATGATGCGCCAGAAGATGTGCGTCCGTAACACTTCACGGCCTGTCATAAGCTGGAGAGACATGAGACAGAAGCCATGCATGACTGCGTGGTTCGCTGAAGTCCAAAGGCGGCACAAGCGGCGTCGGGCCTCCCGCTGCTCAGCAGTCAAGCCTCGACCTTCTCGCACGGCCGGCAGCGGGTATGCAAGCTGAAGCCGCTGAGCTTCCTCTTGCTCGGCTTCAGCTTGCATTTTCTCCTCCAGATTCTTCATCCCATGAGTCAAATGCTTCAGCATGGGTCCACACGTCATGGAAGGTTTGGTGGTGTAGTCGCAAGTATAAAAACTGGTTTGAATACCAGTGCGAATGCTTTCCACGACGCATTCTTTCACATATCCATGAAGAAGTCTGCATTCCGGGCTCAAAAATCGATCGCCCACTCGATTAGCATCGGCGGCACCTGTTCTCTCAAACTCCAACCGGTACAAAGCCAAACATGTCCGACTCAACCTTTTGCACATGAGGCCATCCAGATACGGTGTCAAAAACTGGGCTGCTCTTTTCTGGGCACGGTGCCTGACCTCCGAGCTGCCAATCCACTGCAAACCCTGGTATGTCCAAAATTCATTAGCAAGAATGAAAGCGGAAGTAATGACAACTCTAAAGCGCACTCGCTGCTGCTGGCCTGTTGCTTCAGATCCAAAAATCTTTGTTTGTCGTGTCAACAAGTCAGTGCCAGGGACTGAGCCACTGCTTCCAGACGACATCGGCATAGAATCTGCGCCCAGATCACGCAACAAGTCAAGTTCCTCCCTGTCAAAGCCAGCAGTCAACGTTCGACGACAATCCTGATAATTCAAATTGCCACGATGCGCCACCATAGCTGCCTGTTTGCGGCAAACATTTGCGCTCACTAGAACCCGTCACACGAAACAACAGTTCTAAAACTGACAACGAAAAAGTCTCTCTTTGTCCAACAGTCTAACAGCACAACAGGTTTCACACTCTAAAAACAACACTTCCAACCCGCACGGTTGGCAACAAATTAAATGCAACCGAGGCGCCGGAAGACACTGACCTTCTCTTGGATTATATTGCACTGTTTTGATCCGACCACATTGTGTTCCATCTTGATTTGTTTCTACATGAGACCCCAAAGAAGACCTTCCAGCGAAATGCTTGCCATCTAACGTCACACCATTTTGGAGAGACTCCAAAGTCAAGCGGATACCTTCCCCGGGCCACACAGGCAGCAAAGGGTCCTTTCCGGTCCTTGCGACCACAACCTCGACGACTTTCGTTGACCGATCATCCATCAACTTCTCTTTCCAGAGTTTCACAAAATGTGTAAAATGAAATCGACAATGTTGAGGCTTTCTGCGGCTACCTTCAGGAGCATACTTGAAACACGTGTTCTTGTGTTCGTGCAGGTGGCCAGACAAAGCACACACAGCATGCAAGTCTTCGCAAAAGTTTGCAATATACTTTTGCTGCATGTCTTCTTTCGCATCAATGGGAAAACCACTCGTCGAACGTTCCTCAGCATCTGTCCGAGCCTTTGCACATAGTGAGCAACTGCATGCAGCATACCCTGACACCGGTAGACGATAATGTGGCAAGCGCGCCATGACGCATCCAGTCAAAGGGATATGCTTGATGTTCACCTTTTGCTTTGTCTCCTCAAAAGATGTAGCAGATTCTCCTGTCATAGCTTTTCGTATATGATAATCGACCACAGGTGGCACCACCGTAACAGAAGTACGTTTCTTCTCGGGCTCCTTGACATCTTCTTCTGCACCGCCATCAAAACGATCTTCTTCCCGCCACTTCTCACTGTACGGCTGGGGCTTCAAGTCGATGTCTTCTCGAAACGGAATTTCTTCAAAGTGCAATCGACCTGTGCCTGCACAGGAAGACATGATGCTTTCAACGGCCAGAATAGTTTTCTCTTGCCAATTGCGCAACAAAGCTTTAGCTTCGTCCGTCTCAGCCAACAAAACCGAGCGAAGCCATGCTTGAGAAGTCCGATTGGCAAAATGCAAAACTATATGAGGGTGGCACGCAAGCCGAGCTTGTTCCTCAATGGGTCCATGAAGTTGCTGCACAGCCGGGAACGCACCGCCCATAAAATTCGCAGCAGCTCCATCTGCGTAGATCACCCCTGCCCGACTACCATTTGCACGAAGTTGGTCGTCAAACGGCATCACGCCAAGAACGTGTTCCAAAAACAAACGCATGCTGATGATGAAAAATTTGGCCTGTGCAACAGGGTTTTCTGCTAATATCTCAAGCATGCGACTGGCAGAAGGCATGGTGGGTTCCTCGTCCAGCAAATTCACAGTGTACTTCTCCGATGTGCCATCCGGTGTCAGTCCACCAGCAGCAGCAGCGACATTGCCATTGTGTAGAATCACAAGCAATGGATTTCGCGTGTCTGCAACATTCGGCGTCAAGAAGCCTTGCACACCACCATACCTGCAAAGGCTTCAGTGTAAGAGTATATATATGTGAAGCTTGTCGACAACAAAATATTCACTTGCCATGTCCTCCGTTAATACTTTCCTAACAAAAACATTTCAATGAAACATAACTACCACGACCAACTGTTCACCATCATTATACAGACGGCACTTGCCGCTAAGACACATCAGCATCGCACCGTTCTGCTCATGTCTCAGCTGCTGTCTCGCCCCATCCGATCCCACCACATCGGAAGAAAAGAATAACAGCTGCGATATCGCATCTCTGAGGCGAGTGTCTGCCTTGGCTGAACGCATCACATCACCCATCGTCGCATGATCTCCAAGCTCACGCAAAGCGGTGCTGAGTTTGGCAGAAGTACAATCCAGGACAGCACGCAGAGAATCTTTGAATTTCTTCCGCCGGACATGTCCGGAAGCCAAGCGCACCATCTCCATGCGTTTCCAAGAATCAGAAGCAACAGCAAGAAAATTCAAATCTGCTTGCCAGCGTGGAATGATAGGGGGCTGGAACGGCGTTTCTGGCAGAGAATCAGAGGTGGCTACGTCGGAGATTTCATACTCCAGCTCAACTCTTGCTGTAACAGATAGCTTGCCCACTCGCGGAAAGTCAGAGGAGTGTCCCGCGGTAAGCCATATACTCCATCACCATACGGAAATAATTCCGGAAAACATTTCTGATAAAATTCAGGTGAATACATCGACAGGGTATCACTCCCAGTGTGGACAACCTGCACCCACTTACCCGTCGAACTGTGAGTGGCACCTTCCGCAGCATCCATCTGTTGCACCAATTCATCCAGCTTTGCTTGCAAATCAGCTTTCGACATCGTTTCAGCAAGGGCCTTCAAGCTCGTCAATTCTTGTTCCACCGCATCATCATCACCACCACCAAGACGCTGTGCCCGAGCGGCCAGAAGTTGCAACTTTGCAGCAAACTCTTTACAACATCTTTCCACGTCCAAGTCCGCGCTTGTCAGTTCTCCCGCCACACATTGAAAGCCAGGCGGCGGCTGATCTTCGTCCGCATCAAGCGATTGGTTGTGGACTGAGCCAACATCACCGCTGTCATCCCCACAGTCGGCAGTCGCCGCCAGTTCCGTCTCCGCAGCATCGGTCACAGTCGCTTCCGCGACAGTCACCACGACAGTATCCGCAGATGTGTCTCCAGGAGCGTCCAACTTCACAGGCATAGCTTCAGCCTCTGCAACCCGAGTAGCCTGGGCACGCACAGCAGCACAAGTGGCGCCCAATTCCATGAACTGTTCCTTTGCATTGTCCTCAGAGACTGTAAGGTGCTGATAAGCAACATTGTGAGCGACAAGATACTTTGCTGCTGTCATATATAAATCTCGCGGAACTTCGGCCCAAGTAGCACGATCCAAGTCCTAGCATGACACACAAACGATTCGAAACAAAAAAACAAAAGACAACTATTCCGTCGGCCCCGCTAGTCTTCATACAAACCTTTTCTTGTAGACATCCCCATACAGTACAAGACCCAGTCCTCCGGATCACAACCCACCAATGCAATAGAAATGCTGTCCGACAAATAACGGTGGGTCTCAATCGAAGCTGCAGGCAGTTCAGTGGATACCAATTCTCGTATCTTAGCTTGCGGAAATGCTACAGTGTTGCTTCGCATGCCCATTTGTTTTTCTTGCCTTCTCCCCGGCTTGTCTTTCTCGGCAATGATTTTTTGCACCACAGCACGGCCCAAGGAAAGAAGTAAGAATGTCATAGGAGATAATTTCTTGCCTTGATTGCGAAACACGACAGGTTCACGACCAATCCACAAAGAATTGGCAAGCGCAAACTTGGGCATCTGTGGCACCTTGCGCGTCAAGCTCTGCGAGCAAGCCATGCAAACATCCACGACAGTATCGGGACCGAGCCGCGATGGAACCATCTTTGTGTTCAGCAACCATCGCCAAGCTCGGCCTGCTTTGTCTTTGCCAGTCGGATGTTCAACAGTACTAGCCAAAAGTTCGGCTAAAGGAATCAAAGGCCACAGTCTGGAATAACGATATACATCGAAAATGTGTGAATGCAATCTTGCAACAGCTTGAGGAGATATACTAAGCACACCGTCATCTTGTTCCTTCTCCTCTTCCGCTTCATCTTGATCATTTGCAGGGTCTTCCAAATTCACTTCATCCAATTCCGTGGCTCCAAGCGCCGTCACAAACAGTTTCACCGGTCGAAGGTCCTCCTTCCAGAATCCACGAGCACACACACAACATGAAGAAAAGGACCGAGGCTCTGCGTGTTTGCCTCTGCAGCTATGCACTTGATGAAATGCGTGTTTGGCAATGCCCCGTTGCATCTGTTCACCTTTGACAGGAAACGGTCCTGGGCCAGGGATGCCAAAAACAGAAACAACTGCACCCCGACACACGGAGAGCCATCATATTAGTTAAGCAAATTGGAACTGGCTATTTTCAACTGGTTGCAGAAACTATTTCACTCATGCCAGTATGCGTGACATCAAAAAATGAAGATACATCACACCATCCTATCAGTTTGTCATTGAGTACCGACTTGACTATCCGCCTTCCACTTGCTCATAGAACATCATGCGCTTGCGATACTCTTCCACAACACGATGCGAAGTCCACCACTCTGCACGATTGCCTGCGCTGTCAGCAGCCACATGATGTTCTTCCAGATGTTTCAAAAAATCACGTTGTGTGTTCATCTCACTGCCGCAAAGCTCACAGGCCAGCATACACGTTGCTTCTGGACCACGTCGAAAAGGCCAACGATCTCCGGAATCTGTCAACTGTGAAGCTTGGATGTATGCTTCCTTCTGCATACGGCGCTGCCAAATGCTTGGGAATGCTTCTTCCCAAGTTATCCTTTCGGCAACACGCATAGCTTTTCTGCCGGTGAGCAATGTTTTCATGCGGACCCGCCGAACTTTCTGCGCCAAGGCGTCTGAGGCGCTCTGCGGCCCTCGGACCGGCAAAGACTGCTCATTTTGCCACAACTCTTGCACTTCTTCGAAAACCTTCAAATGATGCGGCCACCACAGGAAGCACGAATGCAGTGGTAAGGCTTCCCACGCCAACATCTGGTCTTCATTGAGAGGCAACGCATAGTCAGACAGCACCCCTTTACGCTTGTTGACAACAACTCCAAAACGACGAGAGCGGACCTTGCGAATAGCTGTCACAAGTTCCGGGTCTGAACTGTGGCCACCATCTTTGTCGGGCCACCTGCTTTCAGAAACACAAAAAGATTCCACACGAGCTCTCACACTAGCAGTATCATCCGATGTCGCAACTGGGCATGTCTCCAACCATTCCAAAGCGGCAGTTTGTTCATCAACAGATAAAGACTGCATGGAAAAAAGAGCAGCAGATTCGAAACCTCGACACACAGCAATGACAATGTCCGCA